AACTAATCTTGTAAGAGTTAGCTTGTTAAAGTTCACTGCTACATGTTCACAGGGAGATAATCAATTTGTATTGATTTCACAGTGTGTGTTCAACTTGTGGTATTTGCTGTCTTCTTTGGGCTTCAGGAAACCACTGGAAGGCTTTTTACTGACAATAGGTTTGTAATCTTATAGAAACGTTTGCATTAATTGGACCAAATATACCATATATAGGTGCTAGAGCTTATCCCGGCTCCCATAACATATTAAGCAAGTAGGAGTATCTCTACTCTCCCCTGGATGGGATGCTAGTCCATTGTAGGGTTACCCCCATCATTCAGTTTACCAGAAGCTATTTATACATCTTGGTGAAGGAGGCTATGTCAGAAAGTAGAGTGTCTTACTCAAAAAGACAGTACCAAGACCCTGGCGTTAGGGCTGAAACCCAGACTGCATGATCTGGAGTCCATAAGTCCCCCCACTTTCAATTCAGGGTGGAGTGCTGTTATGTGTGCAAAAACCCTGAAAGAGACACATGTTCTCATGATTGACTCCTAGTCAGGCCTGACTATAATGTTGGGTTATGTTGTATTCTTGGGCAAAAAGCAGCAACTCTCTTTAATTAAATATAATTATCTATAGGCCAAGTGGATCTGGTAATAAATGGCTGACTAGCACACGATGTACAGATGAATGTCAGGAAATTGTTGGATTAAACATGAAGAAAATGTTGGAAGGTTTAAATTTGTAAGCCATTTGACTCAAACGTCGCCCACAGAACATCAGTCTTATGATGAGATGTTGATCATGGATGAGAGCTTCAAATTAATTTGGCCAAGGAATTCTTGACTTGCCTCTAAGGTTACTTTGTAGCTAATTAGACTTAATTGTTCATTTTGTCTTGCAGAGATGTGTTATTGTTATACAAAAAGACTATCCATTTTATGTCATTCTTTTTTGTCTTTGATGGAATTCAGGTAAATCATTCTAATGATTAAGTGGTAAAATACGATCCTTAAAGCCTGTCAGTGACCAACTACATGTACTAGAATTAATGATATCATAAACAAAATAAAAAGTCTGGAATGTTCATCAGTTTTACAAACACTAGAGAAACAGCAGAAACTCACTTAATTCCAGTGAGCAAGTTTGACATCCTTGTGATCGTGCTTTAAGTCTTTCCAAATACTTTAAGGTATGCCAAGAACCAATCAGAATGGACAATTTTGTTGTGGAAACAATAATGCAATTAACATGTATAGCAGACCTATTTTTACATTTCAAGTGGAACTCACTGGGGGTGTAGAAAACGGCTTCTCAAGTGATACGAATTGATGTTCAATTTTCATCTCAGGGTGT